ATATAATATGCACCTACGTACAGATTAAGATATCACAATACCTATAGTCTATGAGACGCAACTATCTCATCTCGTACGTACTAGTCTTGATACGTTATGACGTCCGTATTATCATAAAGTGCGACTAGGGATATTCTAGACATAGCCTTCGTCAAGAAGTAACAGTCTCATAATCAGAACATCGTAGTCCTCATCTATGTTACTGAAGCGCTATCGTCTATGGACTGAAGCTATGTTATGTTACACGAGATATAAAACATACTTCAAGGCCTTTCATTCATGATAAAGTGTACAGTTACATAGGTATTTGATTGCCGCTAGGGCACCTAAATACAACAATCTCCCACTTGCCCTAAGGCCAATCAAGCATTCCTCGAATGCCCATGGACCACGTATGACTCTCGTGTTTAGGCTTTCCCAAAGCCTTCGTCAATGGATCCGCGATATTGTCGTCTGTACCTATCTTGCAAATCTCAACGTCCCCACGTGCAACGATTTCTCATATGATGTGATAACGTCTAACGATGTGTTTGGTCTTTTGGTGAGACCGAGGTTCTTTCGCTTGTGCAATTGCCCCAATTTTGTCGCAAAAAAACGGTATAGGGTTCTTGATGCTAGGAACCACTCCAAGCTCAGTAATAAAATTCTTGAGCCACACACCTTCCTTGGCTGCCTCGGCTTCAGCCACGTACTCTACTTCTGTAGTGGAATCAGCGGTAGTATCTTGCTTGTAACTCTTCCAGGTAACAGCTCCGCCATTCAAACAAAACACATACCCTGCCTGCGACTTGAAGTCATCTCTATCAGTTTGGAAGTTGGCATCAGTATATCCAACAATACTGAGTTCTTCTTTTCCGCCATATACCAGGAAGGCATCCTTAGTCCTACGGAAGTATTTAAGGATGTTCTTCACAGCTGTCCAATAACTTTCGCCAGGGTTGGACTGGTATCTACTCGTGACACTCAGAGCAAAGGCAACATCAGGTCTCGTACATACCATCGCATACATGATGGATCCAATGGCCGACGCATAAGGAACATTTCTCATGCGTTCTACTTCCTCCGGAGTGGAAGCACCCTGAGTCTTGGAAAGACTCATGCCTTGGACCATAGGCAAACTTCCTTGTTTCGACTCAGACATGCTGAATCTAGCGAGGACCTTGTCTATGTATGTACTTTGACTGAGACCTAACAGCTTCCGTGATCTATCCCTATAGATCCTTATGCCAAGTGCATAACTGGCCTCTCCCAAGTCCTTCATAGAGAAACTCTTACTCAACCACGTTTTGACGGTGGTTAAAGTAGGAATATCGTTTCCTATGAGCAGTATGTCATCAACATACAGAGCAAGGAAGACTACAGCACTCCCACTGACTTTCTTGTACACACAAGATTCATCTGAATTTCTTTCAAAACCAAAACCGATGACAGTTTCGTGAAAGCGGATGTTCCAACTCCATGAGGCTTGCTTCAATCCGTAAATTGATCGCTGCAACTTGCATACCTTGGTAGATTCTTCTGGAGTGCAAAACCCTTCAGGTTGTGTCATAAAGACATCCTCAAGGAGGTTTCCATTAAGGAAAGCCGTTTTGACGTCCATCTTCCAGATTTTGTAATCATGGTATGCTGCGATAGCAAGTAAGATCCGAATGGATTTAATCATGACAACTGGAGAAAAAGTTTCGTCACAGTCGATACCATGTATTTGACGATATCCTTTTGCTACCAATCGTGCCTTGAAGGTTTGCACCTTACCATCCATGTCAGTCTTCTTTTTGAAGATCCATTTGCACCCAATGGGTTTGATCCCTTCGGGTGCATCAACCAAAGTCCATACTTAGTTGGTGTACATGGAATCCATTTCGGACTGCATGGCTTGACGCCATTCCTCAGCCTCGGGACAACTGATTGCCTCGAGGTAGGTCTCCGGCTCATCCTGGTCGATAAGCATTACGTCACCCTCAAAGGTTAGGAGGAATCCATACCTTTCAGGTTGTGTGCGTAACCGGTTAGACCTACGGGGTTCTTGTGTATCTTGAGCATTTTGAGGTACAAC